CAAACGGATACCAGAATGTGTGACAGAGACAGTGACCACCACGCCTTCAAATCTGAAGATCATGACAGTTGCTGACATTCCTGCAGACCTTTCCCATTAGGGACCCAGAAGTGGGAGGGCCGCACAGGTCACAGGTCAGGGCACATGACTGGCACCGCACACGGCTGCTGTGCTGACCTGGGCCCCACGGCGTGGGCAGGGAGGAGCACGAGCCGCCCAGAGAGGTGCCGGGGAGACAGAGGCTGGCGCGGCTCGGCGAGGCCTCGGGGCGCTGCGGTTCTAGCAAGTGCAGTGGGGACTTCGCAGCTGAGGGCCATTCCCCTGCTCTGCCACCAGCTCAGAGGTTGAAAAAACAGGCCACTGACTTACATGACAGGACGTGGCCAAAGCTGCGGACGTGGATTTCTAGGCTGCTGGCAACAGGAGCTCATGCTTTTCTGCTTGTTACTGAAAACTCTCCAGTCTTGAATGGCGCTTCCATTAAACTCTTCCAGTTACAGAAGGAAGAGAAGGCAGCGAGGCCTCTGTTTCCACAGCGGTGCCTCTGATACGGGAGCTATGGCTACGTGTGGCTCTTCGAATTAAAATCGCTTAAAATTAGATAAAATTAAAAATTCCCTTCCTTGGGGGCACCTGGGTGGCTCAGTCATTAAGCGTCTGCCTTCGGCTCAGGTCATGGTCTCAGGGTGCTGGGATCGAGCCCCGCATCGGGCTCCCTGCTCGGCGGGAAGCCTGCTTCGCCCTCTCCCACTCCCCCTGCTTGTGCTCACACACTCTCTCTCTCAAATAAATAAGTAAATAAATAAAACCATAAAAGAAAAGAATTCTGTTCCTAACTGCATTCACCACCTCAGGTGCCCATGGCCCCCCCACTGGACAGCCCAGAACATTCGAGCATCACAGGCAGTGCCCCTGACATGCTGTCCCAGACAGAAAAACACTCCCAACTGCTCCAGTTTCCATGCTAATGTGTAGGTGGGGTCTCCCTAGAGATGGACGTCCTGTGCTTTGCCATATTTTACACGGCACCGAACAGCACGGCCCGGCGGTCACACCATGTGGCCATGGCCCTCACTTCACATCTGACAACCACAAAGACCGTTCATAACAATACCGGCTTAAAGTCCGCTCCTCTGCAAATGACCTGGACGCACACTTTGTCTCTCGGAAAGCTACTGTGCTTACCTGAACGTCACAGGGGAAATTTTGCCCATGAGGGCATAGGCCGTGATGCTCTGCAGGTGGAACAGAACGCCATCCATCAGCAGCAGCAACACGACATCCTGGCTATAACTGAAGCTCTTCCCACTTCTGCCGATCACCGGCAAGTCCTGTGGGTCAGAACAGGAACAACGCTCTGCTGCTGCCCAGCTTCCTTCCGCGGCTCACCCTCAGAGAAGCGTGGGGTCACGTACCCAGTCATCCGGGTCCACAAACTGATGCTGAGCGGTGCTCTGAAAACAGCCTTCTGGGGACAACCACTCGGCACCCACCAACATTCTGAACGTGCATATACACATGGCCAATAAGGCCACAAGAAGGCGCTCAGTATCACTGACCATCCGGGAAATACAAACCAACAGCCCAACGGGAGACCGCCTGACACCCATGAGGACGGTGACCATCAAACACAGAAAACGGGAAGGACAGGTGCAGGCAAGGATGTGGGGCCCTCGAGCACTGTTGGCGGGAAAGTAAAATGGTGCAGCCGCTGCGGAAAGTCTGGTGGGTCCTCAACAAGTTCAAGAGACAATTACTGCAGGAATAGCAACCCCACTTCTGGGTACATGCCCCAAAGAACCGGGAGCAGTGTCTTGAATCATTATGTGCACGCCCAGGTTCACAGCAGGACTGTCCGCCAGAGCAAAAACGTGGAAGCTACCCAGGTGTCCATCGGTGGGTGGATGGACGGACAACGTGCTCCAGCAACACAGGGACTATGACTCAGCCTTAGAAAGGAGAAGTGCTGACACCTGCTACAGCAGGAGGGACCTTGAGGACACCACGCTCAGTGACATAAGCCAATCCCCAAAGGACAAATCCCCTAGGATTCCACTGACATGAGGGACCTAGAGTCGACAGATCCATACGGACAGAAAGTCCAGTGTAAGTGCCAGGGGCTAAGGGAGGGGTGAAGTAGCTCAGAACTCAAATATGCCGCTTTGGCATCAGGATTATTTTGGGCGGAAGACCCTTAAAAAAGAGCAGGAACAAGAAGGGCCTGGACCTCCCTCTTCCTTCCTGAGAAGCAGGAGACAAGGGCCCCACATGGAGGTCGCCCACGCAGCAGGAGGAACGAGACATGCTCGTCACCAGAGACCGAGAGTCAGGCGGACTCACCCACCTCCACCCCACACACAGCCCACTCTCCCACAGTCACCTCTCCCCGCTCAGCCTGGCACATGCGCACACAGGTTGCACCCCTCCTTTGGTTTCCTCATGAGGCTCCCGTGTCACATAAAGCTCATGTTAAATCAGTCTGTGGGCTCGTCCCCTGTTAATCGCCCAGCCAGAGACCCTAGCAGGGAGAGGTAAAGTCTCGCTCCCCCTACGGGGTAAGTGGGGAGTTCCTGTTTCATGGGCACAGAGCGTCAGTCCGAGATAATGGAAGTCGGCGCATGGCCGGTGACAGTGGCTGACGACAATGTGAACGTATCTGACGTACGCTTTAAAATGGGTAGAACGGGGGCGCCTGGGTGGCTCAGTCATTAGGCGTCTGCCTTCGGCTCAGGTCATGATCCCAGGGTCCTGGGATCAGGCCCCACATCAGGCTCCCTGCTCAGCGGGAAGCCTGCTTCTCCCTCTCCCACTCCCCCTGCTTGTGTTCCCTCTCTCGCTGTGTCTCTCTCTGTCAAATAAATAAATAAATAAATAAATAAATAAATAAATAAATCTTTAAAAAAAATAAAATGGGTAGAATGGTCAATTTTATGTTTATGTACATTTTATCACAATAAAAATATTTTTAGATATGCACAGTCTTTCAATCAACCGTTTCAATTCCAAGAATGTATCCTAGAGAAACACCCTCGTCTGCTAAAGACACGACACGTGAAACTCTCTGTTCGGTGTGAAATGTGCCAGGCAGTCAGGCGTCTGTCAAAGGGGCCGGGTCAGGGCACAGTCACACCCGGAGCACAAGCAGAGGACAGAACAGCCCAGTTCCATTTGTGTTTAAAAAAAAAAGGTCTGGGCGCCTGGGTGGCTCAGCCGTTAAGCGACTGCCTTCGGCGCAGGTCACGATCCCGGAGTCCCGGGATCGAGTCCCGCATCGGGCTCCCTGCTTGGCGGGGAGTCTGCCTCTCTCTCTGACCCTCCCCCCTCTCATGTGCTCTCTCTCTCTCTCTCTCAAATAAATAAATAAAATCTTAAAAAAATAAATAAAAATAAAAATAAATTAAAAAAAAGGTCTGCACAGACACGAACACATGCTTTTAAGAGACTGGTGGAATCATGCCACATACATGTGTGTCTGAGTACGAGTCTAGCCGTGCAGACAGGTCTGGAAAGGGGCTTTGGAGGAGTGGGTCAGGGGCATCAGGGGACAGACCTGCTCTCTGGTGTATATACTCCTGCCCTGTTGCTTGCTCCAAGAGGGCACGTCACTTTAAAATACTAATAAAATAAGCAAGCCTAAAGACCCCCCCCAAACTTCAGGGCACTCCACAGCTACAGACTGGCCTCGACGGGCACAGAGCCCCGTCCCAGGTTTGGCTTCCGGCCTTCTCCCCCTTCTCGTCACGCGCTGGCTGCTGCCGTTGTGAGCGCGGCAAGGAGCCACCCCATGGCCTGGAAGTTACATCGACCCACTCGCCCGTCACCGGAGAAACGCCAGCACAGACACCCAGCGGCGTCCTGAACTCACCATGAAGATCCAGGCGGGGACCAGCATGGTCACGGCCGCAGCGCTGGTGTAGAACTGCAGCTCTGCAGCCCTGCGGGGGCAACACACGCGCCTGACGCTCCCTGTGCGCGGCCGAGGCCGGCTTTCAAGCGGGCGGCTCCAGCGAGCGCGCCCCGAGCGCCGGCGCACGAGTCTGTTTTGTGCGGCACGACGGGGAGGGTCCGAGTGGCCGGCCAACCCGCAGCCATGAACCCGCCGGCCCTTCAGCCGCTTCAGTGAGGCAGCTGGAAACAGGTGGGGCTTTTCTTCCATGTTTCCACAAAGTATTTTTATTTACTTATTTTTTAAAGTTTATCTATTTTTTTAAGTAATCTCTACACCCACCATGGGGCTCAAACCCACACCCTGAGATCAAGGGTCGCCTGCTCTTCCGACTGGGCTGGCCAGGCGTCCCCTCCACAAAGTACTTCTAAAAGCCACATGTGGCGCCTGGGTGGCTCAGCCGTTCCCAGGGTCATGATCCCAGGGTCCTGGGATCGAGCCCCACATCGGGCTCCCTCCTCGGCAGAGAGCCTGTTTCTCCCTCTCCCTCTGTCTGCCGCTCTGCCTACTTGTGCTCCCTCTCTCTGTTAAATAAATAAATTAAAATCTTAAATAAATAAATAAATGCCATGTAAGCCAAAGTGGGAAAAGCGTGAGGTCTACAGGGGATTCTGAACCTTCGAAAGGGCAAGAAGTCCTCTCGGGCCTACAAAATTGGGAGTTTCACGGGCTAACGATACTTACGAGAACCTGTATTTGTCCCCGCTGAGGAGCTTTTTTGAAAAAACATTCTGCAAACTAGAATAAAGAAAAGAAGAGGTTAGCTGTTGATACAAGGGGTCAGCATGGACCTCAAAGGAACCGAGCGTCTGCATCCTTCCGAAGCGGTGACGACGGCAGCCCTCGGGGATGGCCCCCGCACGGCAGGCCCCCGCACGGCAGGCCCACGCCGGGGGATTCCTGGGCATCGCTCCGCTATGAGGGGTCCCCATGACTGGCCCCTTTTACAGAAAGGTAAACTGAGGCACTCAGAGATTGAGCAATGTGCCTGAGGTTACCTAGCTCTTAGGGGTCACAGGATCCCAATGTCCCTGCTCTAAGTGCTGCACAAAACCCTGCCCTGAACCAAGAGTTCCCATAAGTCAGTAACTGCCACAGGCTGGGCACCTGCAGGCTGAACGTGTGGGGGCGGGTGAACAACACAGTCTAAGCTCACAAAGACTCCAGTGGAAAAATAATGGACAAAACTCCCAAACGGAACAGACAAACCACAGGGGAAACACACATGTGGCCAACAAGAAAATGAAACGGCGTCCAGCTTCCCCAGGAACCAAAGGGCTTGCCACTTCCACTAGGGACTCTGCCCTCTGGGCTCCGGAAGCAGTGGCTTGTTTCATTTTGTTCTGATGCAAAAACTTAGTTGAGGGCGAGGTAAGACCAAAGGTTCCGCTATAGAACTATAAACCAGACACTCTCAGGCTCTATGTCTCTGGTGGGAATTTACCCTGATGACGTCAGAAACTCAATGGAGATGCTCCCTGCACATCTAGACAAAGAGTCATTAATTCGCAGGCATCTGCGAGCCGCACAAGGAGGCAGTCACAAGGCCCAGGCTTCTGAGAGCCCCTGGTGTCGGCACGCGACGCTCACGGGACCACAGAGGGAGCAGAGCCAGACCCAGACCGAATGCATGATGAGGCCATATTAGATTTCTAGGAGCTACAAACATAAGAGGGAAAAAGCCGGAAAGAAATACATCTAAACGTCAGAAATGAAATTACAGATGACTTTTAAATGTTTACTTGGCCCTAGTATCGAAAACCTCAGGGTGAACCTGTCCGACTTTAACAGTAAAGGCAATGATAAACTCCCGTGTGGCTTTCTCCTCTCTTTTCCAGAGGCAATCAGTACTTCTCACAGAGCAGGGCCAGCCGGGGCCTAGTGTGGACTCAACACCACAGCCCAGATGCAGGGCGGCTGCGCTAATCCAAGGGCAGCCCGCAACACAACATCCGTCCCCTTCCTGCTGCAGGACAAGGAACCTCCCTTTCCCACGTGCATATCACCTGACTCGGGCTGCCCCCTCCCCGGTGCCGGCGCTGGGCACAGACCAGAAACCGCCCCTTTGTTCCAGGTGCAGGACGGCCTCTTCCCCTTTGCTTAGCTGAATGTAGATGCATGAACCCACAAGGGCACTCTGGCATGTTAGCTAGCCACGTCCCTACGATGAGTGTTCTTCATACCAAGACCACGTGTTGCCAAACTCTGGCTTGGTTTTTGAGAAACGGTTACCTTATTGAGATACAAGGTGTTTGGTATTTCAGAAAAGGCAGCATCAGATGTGTCCAGCTTTGAATTATGGGATGTAATTCTGAGCTAATCTGGACTTAAACATCCATCATCCTGATCACACCATGTGTCCCCACGCTCTTCCTGACTCACCAGTCCATGATGTTGGTGGACAACGCGGCCGAAAACCCCAGGACGTTGAAGCTTATCTCTGTGGCCGTGCACAGTGCCAGGCCTCCCATGACGGGGATGAGGGAGAGGTTGACCAGCAACCCTGGAAAGGGCAAAAGATACAGAAGAGATGCCGCGGTCAGCCTGCCCACTGCAAAATCTCTTCTGGGCGCCAAGGCCATCTTCATACCCCTCACGAAAGCTGCTAATTCCACTTTCGCTTTAAAAATGAGCAGCTACCGGTTCTTTACACTGGAGGGAAACACAACACATCCACGTCCACGCCTGCACCCAGCCCACCACCCTCTTCCAGGCCAGGAGCCTTACGAGGCTTTTCTCCATGAGGTGCGTCTGCCGGGCCCACGGGCAGGATGCACAAGGTTGGGGCCCTGAGCCCCAAGTCCCGCCCTGCCAGGCACCACAGTAGCACAAACTCTCGCTTGAGAATGAGGAGGGTGGGCGAACGGTCTCCAGACCAGTCTGTCCGAAAGGGGGGGCCAGAGGTGGGGGCAGTTTGACGCCCTGGCTCAACGAGTCTCCTGCCACAACCTGCCAGTGATGTGGAGGTCACTTCTCTTTGCTTCATTCTGAAATCCAAGGAACAAACTTGACACAGAGTTTAAGGTGAGCGAACGGAAAAGCACATTCACTTTGGAAACAGGACATTGGGCCTCATGTTGCTTCAGTTTCAGATCCTATTTAGTTTACTTTGAAATTCAAAGTATGAGGGAAGAAGTCTTCCGTGGGAGAGGCCCACGCTGACTGTTGCAGACCATGGCCACCTCCCGGCACAGGACCGTGCTGGCCAGACTCCAGTCACTAGGGAGCCCCCAGCACACCGAGGAGCAGCCCCCAGGCCCATGTGGTTGCCAGGCTGAGAGCTGGAGGAAGGGAACCTGGCGTGTTGGGCCTCCGCCTGCCAGCACCCTTAGTTTTCTCGCATGTGGTCCTGGCCTCCAGTCCTCCTAGAAATGTCTGCTGCATGACAGACTGTACATGTGAAAACCCAGAGAACGCAAGGCCGCAAGTGCCGTCTCACCCTTAGGAAGGACTTGCTTTTGCTGTTGGGAGGCATCCACGGGCGTGGGCATGCTTGGGGTCCCGGGGGAGAGCCCAGGGCTTTGCTGGGGTGTCCCCCTGGCAGGCCACACTTGCCCTCAGCCCTGCAGCCCCACGAGGCTGCTCTGCCCCAAGTCCCAGCCACTGCTCGAGAATCAGCAGATGCCCCTGTGGGGAGGGAGCCACACATCGGGGTCCCTGCAGCGGGTGACCCTCAGCTCTGGAATCCCGGCCCCTCGGTCATTCTCCCCGAGAGATCCTTTTTGCTAAGTTTTATCGAGATGTTCTCACTGTTCTCAACAAGAGAGCTGGTCTAACCCCAAGCTTAGCCACCACAGCTGGAAGCCAAACCATGCTGTTTCCAAGTCACTGAAATAAACTTAGTGTGGATGAGGCCCCCCCCCCTTGATATGCAATCAGCTTCGTTTGTTTCCTGTTGCTTGTGATTTCTAGGGATTGCTGTTTACACTCTGATTGGATCGTCTTACCACCACCTCAAACACGTGTGTGGTTCCGAGGCACATCTGGGAGGGGTCCAGCTGCGAATCGGCGCTCTCCTCCCTCCACCACTTGCCTCAAGTTCCTGTCATTTTCTTAGTTGAAGCAAATGTGTATCTGTATCTAAACACCTATCGGTACTGCTCTTAGATGAGAGATTACGCAGTATGTGCATTATTCCGCACTCTGGTCGTTTTCACGGAACAATGTTGGATGGGCTCCGTTTGAAAAGGCTGGTGGGAAAAACAGGAACATGTGTGTAACGTGGAGTTGGGAACAGTCTGCTGTCATTGAAGGTTGGCGATTTGTAAATAAATCAGCTTTCTGGGCCTTATGGAGGACGGAAACGTGCAGCTGAGAAGCAGTGAAGAGCAGGCTGTCAGACGAGCTCGGGAAGGACGCAGGAGGTGGCCGACCTGGGCAAGACCGCTGGGCGCACCAGCACATGACCACCACCAGGCAGCCCCTCGCGTGACACGGAAGGAGGGGACCAGTGACTTCTCCTTCACTTGCTTTTTACTTCCTTCCCCTGCTCCCGTGTCCCCACCAACCACAAGGCCTGCACATGTCCAAACAGCCCTGCGCTCAGCTGAGGCGAAGAAACACTTGCTGAAGTGAGTGCGTGAGGCACTGTGACTGCTCGGAGAATGTTCTAGGACGGAAGTGAAAATGTCCACCTCCGAGAGGTGAGCCCCAGCACACAGCGCTGCTGGGAGAGCCCCCACCCCGGGGGAGGGGGAACAGGTGGGCGGGGAGGGGGCACTGGGGCCAGAGGACCCCTCACCTGTGTACTCCCCCAGGATCATCCGGGACATGATCACAGTGAAAATGGGAGCAGAGCTCTTCACTGTCTCAGCAAACGAAACCGCCACATTTTTCAGGCTGACCAGACCCAAAACCACTGTTGCAAACCTAAAAATAAGCCAAAAGTGTCATTGGGATGGAGAAGTCCACTTGCAGCTGCCCTCCTCCTCCCGCTCCCCACCCTGCTGGCCTCCCCCATGAAGACTGAGGTCTGGCCCTGCAGGGAGGGGCCCCGCGACCCCAAACACAGGGTGCTGCTCCGTGTGTGCAGACCGGTGAGCCCAGGGAGAGGAGGGGCGTCCCTCTCAAACCACTCTTAGATTCATGGCAGTTCCAGAAAGACTCTGAACAAAACCAATACATTTGTTGTCCTAAATTCTAGACAGCCCTCGGATTACATAAAGTTTGCACTGAAAACACCTGTGATCCCGTAATTACAGGGTCAGTCAGCTGGCCTCCCACTCCTAGTGATGGCCAAGACATTTTATGCAACACTCAGCCAAAACGTCAGACCCCTTACCTCATTAGACCTACAAACAGCATGATCATGAGGAAATTGGGTGGATAAGAAAGCCGGGTTTTGTGCTGATATAAACAGCAAGGAACCAGTATTTTTACACATCCAATGAACGTAGTTGACAGCATCTGTACAGCACCTGAAGGAGGGAGAGGAGGGACTTGCCTCCGTTCCTACTGCGCAGGCAGACAGGACGTTTGCTGTTCTGCATCCCAGACACGCTCACAGCCCGAACCCTCGGTGCCCTCCTTCCCCGGGGCCGTGGGCACTTCCGTGTGCCTCTCACACGGACCCAGCGTTGATCTGCAGATGCGAGGGGCCTGGCCCTCACCCCCAGAAGGCCGGACACCTGCGTTACCTAGCATGCTGGGCTCCCCTTCCAGCAAGGACAGGATGTACTTGTTGAGGAAGAGGGTACAGAAGCTGAAGAAGAACCACAGTGTGAGGTAGAGCAGAGCCCGGGAGCTCCACACGCCCAGGTCGGACTCGATGACGGTGGTCTCTGTGATGGTTATGGTGAGCACGTTCTCCTCGGGGGTTCCCTCGCTCCTGGTGAAAACAACCTTCTCGCTGCGGGGGCCGAAGAGAGAGCCCCAGGCAAGGAGCGGCTTCCCCTTGGGCTTGTCCTCGGGGCCGGGGGCCAGCTCTGCCAGTGCCAGGGATTTTGCTGAAGCCGACATGCTTGTCCCCTCAAGACTGCAGGCAGCATGGGTCAGGCTGACTCCCAGGTGAAGGTCTGCAGGGAGCAGAGAGCGCCATCCACGACTCGCCTCTCCCTGGCGAGTGCAGGCTGAAATGTTAAGAAAAAAAAACTGCATTATTGATGGTGAACATTTTAATGTCCTTAGAAGTTTTAACCACCAAGTTGAGGTAAGTGTGAAAATGCAAACATGGAATTCTGGCCTTATCTTCACATCCATGTGCAAGGACAGGACATCTTGTGTGCAAGGAAAGGGCGTCTGCGTGCAAGGACAGGACGTCTGCGTGCAAGGACAGGACGTCTATGTGCTAGGACAGGGCATCTGTGTGCTAGGACAGGACATCTGCGTGCAAGGACAGGAGCCCCTACAGACCCCATCTCCCCTCCCCAGCATACTGAAAACCAAAGGCTCCAACAGCTGTCCTTCCCCACGTGCCCACTGTCTGCACAGAGACCCCCAGAGGCCCCCGTCCAGGCTGCTGTTCCCCCTGAAGCCATGCCAGGGGCTCTGCACCTTCCTGCCCGATCTGGGACCTGCTGAAGTCCCCGAGGAGAGGCCGTGGCCCTGGCCTGCCCAGTGGGTCTTGGTGCTGTTATCTGCACACATGCACCTGACCGTTGATATTTTATCCCGCTTTCCCAGCAGTTCTTCGCAGGAGCACCGATCTGCCAGAGACGCTGGGTTTTTCATCTGTCCACTGGATTTTAAATTACAATCACTCTATTTTTCATTTGTGGATGTTCTATTTGGTTCCACCTGAAATTGGTCTGTTTTTCTCACAGCATATTGTTCTTGTTTTTAACTTAAAAAAATTTTTAAAGTAATCTCAACAGCCAACGTGGGGCTCGAACTCATGACCCCAGGATCAGGAGTTGCACTCTCCCCTGACTGAGCCAGCCAGGCACCCCCAGTGTCTTGTTCTTTCCTCCCTTCCTACGTCTTCTTACGTTCTCCTTACGTTCTCCGACCGTTCCTTACCTGAGACCTCAGCAGCGCCACCCTGATTTTCTGTGTATTAGCGGGCTCTGGCCTTGGGGTTGTATGTGGTGTACGTTAGTCACCTCCAGCAGATCCTGCTGTGCAGGGGGCCCCGTGCGCCCTGGGCCCTGGGGGTTTCTTCCAGAGTGAGGGTTTGGGGTCTGCCTCTGTCACATGCTCCAGGGTGTCACTGGCCTAGGATCAATTTTGTGCTACTTTTTAGACAAACCCTCAGCATATGGAACCCACACCTGCTGTTGTCAGACCTGTGGTCACGGCTTCTCAAGTGAGCCTCCGTCCTCTCTCCTAGGATCACAGGCTTAGTCAGACCTGGCTTCTGTGGCAGTCAGGCAAGTTCTCCAAGTTCCTGCTTTAAGCCGAGTCCCAGGGACAACTGCCTGCCCCATCTCAGGAGGGCCAGGGTCCCACCTCCTTCCCCAGTGACATCAGACCCGAGTCCCCAGCCAGCCTCAGACGGGCTGAGCACTCAGATTTCCTGTTCCCTCAGTTTCTGACACCTGGGGGTTTCCTCTTGTCAGCTACACATCTAGAAGGACGTCCATCATACTTCATCCCTAACTCCTGGGGCTTGCAGCAGGAGGCATCCAGGGGCTAAACTGGCTGCACCACCAGCTGGGGCTTAGCAGCTCCTCTCCTGTACCCTGGCACCCCCAGAAGGGCCTCCCATAGGAGCATAGGCTGCCCACCCCACTCCCCCCAGGCATGGGTGGCACCAAGACTCGGCCGTCCTCCCCCACCTTGCCTTGGCCCGCAGTGTTCCTCCCTCTGTCCGCCATGAGCTCAGCGTCACAGGCCCCAGCGAGCACCCACGTCTTGAGCAGGCTGCCCACATGCATCCCAACCGTGGATGTACCAGAGCGGCCTCCCCAAAATGCACTGCAGATCACAATGGGGTGTGCCTGGCCCTTCCATGGGCTCCCACTGCCCCCACATGAGGATAAGCTCTTCAATGTTCAGGGCTCTGCTAAAATGCCCCTGCTCAGCCTCCTCTTCCCCAGCCCAGTCCCACTGTTCTGTTCAGGGTGATGAGGTGCTTGTGCAGCTAGGACTGGCCAGGCCAGAGAGGACGTGGAGAGTCTGTGTTCCACACCCCCGACCTATGGCACGGGGTCCCTAACAGCAGAGAGAGCATCCCCACCCCAAGGGTCCCCAGGCCCCAGATCCTGGCTCCTTGCCTCTCCCTGCCTCTGTGGGCTCTGCCTCCTCAGGAAAGCCTCCCCGTTAGGGCCAAATCCTAAGTTCAAGGCCCCCAGCACCACCAGGTCCTGCTTCTCAGAGACCCCGTCAGTGTTGGTCACAGGTGCCTGGAAGCCACTGCTGAGATTCCAAAGCTGAACTGTTTGCAGGGCAAGGGGCTGACACTCCGGAAGTACCCACAGGACCGACAAATACAGCAAAGAACATGCTGGTGGGTAACTGACCCCTCGCAGGCCAAGCACCCCTTCCGCTGGGCTTCCATCTGAGAAACTCACAACCTTCTAGGCCACCCTCACTCTCCTTGTCCTTAAAGTCAATGTCATGATCCACCCCCACCGAGAAGCCCCAGGACCAGGCGCTTCGAGGGCCAGATGCTCCCTGCTCCCCATCTGCTTCTGGTCAGAGATTCAAGAAACCAGAAACCACCATTCGATGGCACATATATTCCCTTTGTATAAAGACCTTTAACAAGAAGTTGGTTTTCAATAAACGAGGGCCCATGCACATGGCTCCACACAGCTATGGTCCCGCTCTCACGCCTGAACCCCAATGAACACACCACCTCTGCTAACAAACACACACTGTGCCACTAGGAATGTCCTGTGAGCGTCTTTTCATGTGTTTCTGTCGGATCTGCGCTCGGAAGTGACTGCTTGGCCAGGGGCGTCCACGCACACTGCCGACCTGCACTTGACCACTCGCCCTCGAGCTCTGTGTCCCCATGTCCGGCTGCTCTGCTCCTACAGGGTCACATGGGGAAGCACCCCGGCCTGAGCAGAGGTCCTCGATGCTGGTTGCACGTTCACACGCCCAGAGCTCAAACAAGCCGACAGAAAGGGGCCCAGCTCTGCACAGACCAGTGGGCTCAGAGAATTGTGGGTGCAACCCAAGCACCAGAATTTTTAGCTCCTTGGCTGATTCTCACGTGTGGCCAAGCAGAGAGCTACCGTGGGGGGGAGGGGAGCACTCCCTCCGAGGAGCCCACGGTTCTGTCACTGACGGTCCCAGGCTGAAAACACCCAGTAGCACACACAGACCTAATTGGTGTCTCTGCAAGTGACAAGAAACAGTAAGAGACCCACAGGGCGTGCGGCTGAGGCTGCTGCAGCGACAGGTGGTCCCGGGCGGACCCGTGTGTGATGCTCATAAAAATCTCCAGAAGATGGGGGGTTAACGTAGCATTTTTTAAAAAAGACATTCATTTATTTGAGAGAGAGAGAGCGCAAGCACAAGGTGGGGGAGTGGCAGCGGGAGAGGGAGAAGCAGACTCCCTGCAGAGCTCAGAGCCCAACGCAGGACTCGATCCCGGGACCTCGAGGTTATGACCTGAGCTGAAATCAAGAGTTGGACGCTTAACTGACTGAGCCACCCAGGCACCCCTAGCATTTCTGTTAGTAGCAAAACACAACTTAGGGGCGCCTGGGTGGCTCAGTCGTTAAGGGTCTGCCTTCGGCTCAGGTCATGGTCCCAGGGTCCTGGGATCGAGCCCCACATCGGGCTCCCTGCTCTGTGGGAAGCCTGCTTCTCCCTCTTCCACTCCCCCTGCTTGTGCTCTCTCTCTCTGTCAAATAAATAAATAAAATCTTAAAAAAAAAACAACAAAACACAACCTAAATGTCTATTGAAGGACAAACAGATCATAGCACATCATGGGGCCAAGGCCTACAGCAGTCAGATGCAGGGCCGCTGCCCAAGAGTCAATGGGGAAATGTTAAAACTGCTGGAGGTCTGAAATTACAAGACCAGGAAGTGGAAGGAAATATACAACATGGTTCCCCACAAGGCTGTTAAACGTGCCAAAACACCCAATATTGTTTCGAAACAAAAATATAAAAAGTTCTGAAAAAGAGTGGGGAGCAGGGAACTCAGGCCAGAGTTCAAGGGGTGGAGGACTCGGTAGGGACGGGGCCCAGGGGAAAAACAAAAGGCGTTGCAAAGTGCATGCGTGTGTATAGGGAGGCATCGTGCTATTTTCTAAACTGTTGTATAAGCTCAGATTGACGTGTGGAGAAGCATCAAGGGCACCGGGAAGCAGTTCTCCCAGACCTCAGCTGACATTCCCAAGCCCCTGCATCTACTCAGACAATGCTTGTTTAGGCCAGAGCCCATTCGGTTAGAGCCAAATCTTCCTTCCTATGATGGATTCAGATTTCAAGCTGGCGGGAAGGAGGCCTGGCAGCACCTTCTAGCAGACCTAACTTGCCTGCCCTTCCCTAGCTCCCTGCAGCCTGCTGTCCAGTCATTTGGACCAGACTTCAGAGTGTGAGGGCCTCTCCTAGTAACCGGGGGTTGCCTCCCTCACCATCTGCCCCTCGGTGACCAGGAGCTTTCTCTTTCTGTGCCGGGGGTCTGCACTTTTCCTCCTTCCACCCACACGGAGGCAGCCACCAGGCTTCTGGGTGCAGGAGGTGCTGGGGACCCAGAGGCCCAGTCACGCCGACCAGCAGGCAACACACCAGTGCTCCCAACCCCATGCCCCCAACAGGGCCCGGAATCCCAGGGCAGATAGATGCTCAGGCCACCAAGACACGCTCACCTGCTAGCACACACTCTTTTTGTGACCATCAACATCTCCACAGACAGCCCACCCAGCTCGGTGATGAATCAATGTGACAACCGGGCCCAGGGCCTCATGTCCAGCAGGGTGACTGAGGGGCCGGAGCCCTCCACATGCGCATGGTTCCCACACCAAGTCCAGATATGAAAATCAGGTCTGGAGCAGTCCAAGGCATAACAGACTGGCTCTGCCTCTGTCCTTCACGTCAAGACTCACTAATCACACTGGGATGCCCGGCTGCTTGCCTGCTTTTGTCTGGTGAGACAGAAACCCACGGAGGTCAGGGAGAGAAGCAAGAAAGCAAGAATGTCAACGGGCAGGGCGCCTGGCTGGCTCAGTCATTGGGCGTCTGCCTTCGGCTCAGGTCCTGATCCCAGGATCCTGGGATCGAGCCCTACATCGGGCTCCCTGCTCCGCGGGAAGCCTGCTTCTCCCTCTCCCACTCCCCCTGCTTGTGTTCCCTCTCTAGCTGTGTCTCTTTCTGTCAAATAAATAAATAAAATCTTTAAAAAAAAAAAGAATGTCCAGGGGCTTGGCCAGGAGAGTGACTGCACTCAAGACTCCTCCCGGGGTTCCAGGGGCCCAGGGTGGGGGGCTGAAACAGGCCTTGGCCTGCAGGGAATGCGGGGACTGAGGGTCACAGGCGGCCAGACAGCTGCACCCCCCTGGCAGGAGACCAGATGGCTCTTCTCTGGAGAATTCAACAGGCAAAGGACAGAGCTTGAGTATGGAAATCAGGACCCCAAGGAGAGGCTTGGACAGAGAATTAAGATGGGGGAAGACTAAGACGAGAAATTAGAGGAAAGGGCTGGAAGAAGTGCAGAGCAGGAGGCAGCAGGTCCCAGGAAGGGGGGTACCAGAGAGCTGAAGCACCCGGCCACAAGGAGATGCCACCAGACAAGGACCCTTGGAAGTCAAGAGTGGGACAGCAGAAGCAAAATCTCACCAGAGGCTCCCAGGAAGCTCCAACTCAGGACAGGACCCCCAAAAAAGTAGCCGGGGTGCTTGAGGCAGGTGGGCCATGAACCTGGGTCCGGCTCCCAGCCACACCCACAGCCGCTGGTGCCAGAAGCAATCGGCTCTGGAGAAAATCTTGCTTAATCCAGGCCAGAAGACCTTTGCATCTGAAGATCAATGGATGCGGGTCAAAGATCAAAGATTATCTGAGGAGGGAGGGGTGGCCGATGGGGGAGGACCGGCTGCCTGGCAGCTCCAGGGAGGGACAGACAGAGCCTAAGTGTGGCAGGTTGATAGGACAGTCATGCAGGTGAACAAGCCCAAGACGCCATCGGGGGTAAATGTCCAGAGATGAGTCACCTGATTGCTGAGCTGAAACAAGGATGTGACTGCATCCAAACCGCTTGCCTGCAGGTGCCAACTCATCACAAATGGGAGGCGTGACTTTACCGAGACACTGGCGGACATCACCCCAACCCAGCGACCAAAGTTGAAAACACTACAGACAGAGAGATGTCCTATTTGCCCTGATCCCATGCACTAAGAAGAACATGGCACTGCTGTGGATTTCGTGCCACGGACACGTGACTGCAAATCTAGTCGAAAGAACATGTCAGACAAACCCAAAAGTACGCAGGTCACAAAAGTCAAGGACTGACGAAGACCACGGGGACACGGCCACTGAATGCAGTGTGGGGTTGAACCCAGACCGGCGGACTGCACCATGGAAGACATCAGTGGAGGGAGCTGGGAGAAGGGCATACAGGTATAGTTATTTCCTCTGTCGGTCTACAAGTTCCTCAAAATGAAAAGTTTGAAAAATCTGAAATACAAAACAACTCAATCGATGGGTTACACAGAAATGACAGGGCTGATAAGTTACTGCATTCGAAAAAAACATCTGAGGAAATTATCTGGAATGCAGCAAAGAGATGTGAAATCAGAATATTAAAGAAACAGTAACCCAGGTATGGAGAAAATAATAATAAGGAAAGTTCCAGCAGAGAAAAACAGGGAAGAACTGCTATTTAAAGACAGAAAGCAGGAGCACCGGGCTGGCTTAGTTGGGGAACATGCAGCTCTTGGTCTTGGGGTCATGGGTTTGATCCCCACTCTGGGTGACTAAAAATAAATAAATTTAGAGAAGACTAAAAACAGATAAATAAATAAATAAAATCACACTGAGCAACAAGAGACGCGGGCGGATAAGCCCAAGATCAAGGAATCAAGGAGACTGTTTGGTGGTGGGGGAGGAGGGAACACAGAGAGGGAAACAGAGTGACAACAGTTCTCAAATGCACCTGTTGAGACAGTTATGACTTCTGGAACTATATTAATGTTCCACATGCTTAAAAAACAAAAATAACCAAATCAACACAATTTCTAAAGTGCGATACAAATGGGAAGAGGTGAACCAAACCACAAATCAAATAAATAACACAGTCACACTGAAGAGAGGAGACAACCCATCCATGTACCTTCTGAACAGTTTGCAAAATATATGTGCTCAGATTAAAAACAAATAGAACCTCAACACTGAACTCTAGATAGTGGGCTTTTTTATTGACTCATGGGTCAGGATTGAGCAGTAAGTGACTCTTCTGTGGCCCCTGGGAGTGAGACCACGGTGTGCATCTGGAGACAGCACAGATGCAGAGGAGGAGGGTGGAGTGCACTGTGCTGTTGCGATGAGCGGAGGAATCAGGCATCAGCACTCGTGGACAGATGGAAGCACACACATCACACCTGCCCACAATACACTCATCTCTGTATCTGCTTCATAATCTGGCCACTGAGGGCCCGGCCGCAGTGAGCACCCTGTCCTGGTCTTTGTTTCTAAATCTCATTCTCCACTGAAATGAACCAGCCTCCTCAGAGAAATGGCTGATTTCAGGGCTGGGGCATTAGTTGGGCCAAAAGAAAGGAAGTGCTCAAACACTGAAAGGACAGGTTAAAGGACACAGAAGTACACGAGGGAACACCCTCTGGAGAAATCTAGGGGCACTGTGAGAGAGAAAGTGAATAATGATAGCACAGGATCAGAACTCACTGAACAAAATAAGTACCCAAACATCCACAGTGATAAATGGAGAAGAGAAGAAAGCTCTTGCTTACAGTAAAAAGTCAACGGACTGATGTCAAAGGGAGGGTAGAATTAGAAAATCACCATTTGGCCACCTTCCCCATGATCCCACAAACCACTGCATCCTAGAGACCTTCCCCTAGAGAAAGTCTTGCCCGTGTGCACCAGAAGACACATGTAAGAACGTCCACAGCAGAGGGCGCCTGGGTGGCTCAGTCGGTTAAGCGTCTGCCTTCGGCTCAGGTCATGATCCCAGGGTCCTGGGATCGAGCCCCGCATCGGGCTCCCTG